TATCTACTACTATATAATAAGTAATAATAATAGTAGTAGTAATAAATAACTTATTATAGTATATATATATATATATATATATATATATATATATATATATATATATATATATACATGGGTTGAGGCCATTTACTTTTGATACAAGGAGGTCACAATCATCATTGATTCGAAGATGTATCATTGTTACGTACAAAGTCCAAAACATCTTGAATGTCGTAACAAACTTTCGTCTATTGGATTTCACATCCGATGGTTAAAAGTGATTGTGACCTACTGGTACTCGAAGTTATCACTTCTTGATTCATGCGGCTTGTGTTGCGAGTGCTCAATACTATCTTACCCCATTAACTATTTTGATTTTTGGTTGCAGGCAACAAAGTTGAGAAACTATGTGATTTGTGCAACATTACAGTGAACAAGAATGCTGTTTTTGGTGACAGCAGTGCTCTGGCTCCTGGGGGTGTTCGAATTGGTGAGGATTCTTCTTGCTACGTGACTGAAATTTTGGAATTCCCTTTTACTTATAAAAAAATGTGGAACGAGATATTAAAGTGAATCCTTAGAACAATTTACACTCGTGTATTTCCCGAAAGTGAGTGTATATTGTTCAAGGACTTGTGCTAATGGGAATGGAAAATGGGATGTATTTCCCGAAAGTGAGTAGGTCTCTGGTACTAAGGATGGTTCTATGATGAATTATCTGTATGGAAAATGGGATGTATTTCCCGAAAGTGAGCTAATGGGAATGGAAAATGGGATGTATTTCCCGGAAGTGACTAGGTCTCTGGTACTAAGGATGGTTCTCTGATGAATTATCTGTCTTTTGTTTGAAAATTCATCTTTGCTGATGTCATGTATGGTGCTTGCATTTGGGCGTGTGTGCTAGAATATCATTTGTCCTATTGTTTATTGTGGGTCCAGAACATGCCTTTTGTGTATTAAGTGCTTGGTTCAAATGCTATGAGCAGCTTCTTTGGTATCTTAGAGTCATAGCTTTCCTTCCTTTATGAGCAGCTTCTTTGGTATCTTAGACTCATGTCATAGCTTTCCTTTCCTTTGTGCGTGTGTGAGCGTGTGTGTGTGAGAGAGAGGGTATGAATAGGGAGCTGTATATTCTTTCTCAGCTGATGTTTTAAGTGCGACTTTCGTGTATTTTCAGGTGCCCCAGCTATGACCTCAAGGGGTTTGGTAGAGAAGGATTTTGAGCAGATTGGGGAGTTTCTCCACCAGGCTGTTACCATTTGCCTCGGCATCCAGAAAGAATATGGGAAGCTCTTGAAGGACTTTAACAAGGGCCTTGTCAACAACAAGGACATCGAGAACCTTAAGAACGAGGTCGAGAAATTTGCAGCCTCTTTTGACATGCCTGGATTTGATGCTTCTGCCATGAAGTACAAAGACTAAATGGAGCATTTATTTTGCCGCTTAAAAAAGAATTTTAACTGTTTCTAGTACTTCCAATACCTCTCTCTGCTAGGGAGCACTTGAGCATGTGTTCTTTTCTCAATTTTCTTTATGCCTTTCAGTGATGTTAATTTGAGCTAGTTTTTGTTCTCAAATACCTGTATTCTTTTTGCTTCCTGTGGTGATCAAACTTTGATATATATGGAAAGTGTGAAGCAAATGGTTCGAAAGTTTATTATTGAAAAATAAGAGAAGAATGATGACTTGATGATTGCTGTGTATTGAGAAAAGTTTCTTATAATGACAAAAGCAAATGGAGAGACTTGGTTGAGGAATCTTGTGTGGGATTCAAAATGGAATCCAATGGACTATGGGCAATGCTGGTGACGATTATGGGAAGGGTTTGGGCCCCCTTCCAAATAGAACGAAAAGGGCGGCTAGATCCAGATCGACCAAATGTTAAATTGTTTATCCGGACGCAAATAGGTGGTCTCAAGAATTGCATTGACGTGTCCATGGGTAGCTTGATCGTCTATATCCCAAGAATAGGAAGCCCAACCCTTTGTCCCCAATTGCATTGACATGTCCAAAAGGAATGGAACATATGACGCAATAAGAAACAACCAACAATTGGTAAGAGCTAATGCATACTTAGATTTGAGAGTAATGCATACTTAGATTAGAGTGAACACAATAATCTAGCCCAATAAATTGCAAATTCTATACAGTCACCAAAATTTGATGCATCCGCATAGGTGCCAAGCTTCCTGACAACTATAACTCATAGTGATCAGATTCCAATGCATAACCACAAGGAATAACTCGTATGTTTCACTTAAGCAGATCACCTTAGGGTAGTCCCTGCAAATATATTGGGTCAACGAATCTGCATTATCTCAACCACAAGCAAATATAAATTATGAGTAAAGAAAAATAATGCAACGAGACATGGAGGCCTGCAACATAAACGTTATTTATCCGAAAAGAAATCTAGTATGAATATAATATTAAATTAAGGGAAAATAGCATTCAAAGCGAATATGAATATGCCATTGTGTATCATCTATAACATCTAATAAATCATTGAAAGAAGCTAAAGCAATAAATCCCATTTAAATTGTCAAAAAAACCAGATCATCCCAATTGTGTCATGAATGAAAAGTTAGAGACCAAACCCATTAATCAATGACATAGATAAAAGGATCATTAGGTCCATTAACAAAACAACAGAGTCCAAACTCAATTCCAGTAAAAAAAACCATAAAAAGGAACAATAGGTCAAACATATTAAGTCACATTCATATATAACCAAGCCATTTTAGGCTGCACAAAAATCTTATATACTATAAACAATCAATAAAGAAATGCATTGTTAAATCCTTTTTCTCCTTGGTTGTCTTTGTATATGGTGATTTATATTGACAACAATCACCATTAAAGAAAAATCGATAGGGACGAATACAAAATAAAAAAAGAAAAAGAACATAAAAAGAACACCCAGAATCCATTTGAGAGAGAGAGAGAGAGAAAGAGCTTTGATACAAAATAGGGTTTTTATGCAAGGGGGAAAGAGAGAGAGATCGACCTTGAGAGGAACCCACAGAAGAAAGCTCCCACATGATTGAGCCTTCTTAGCAATTTGATACAAAATAGCTTTTTAGCAATTTGGGATTTTTGCAATTTGGACTGAGCTTTGATACAAAAGAGCTTTTTAGCAATTTGGGATTTGTATCACGCAATCCCAACGAGAAAGAGAGAGAGATTCAACGTGAAAGAAATGAAAATTCCAAAAGTGAAGCCAAGAGGAGAGGGGGGGGGGAGAGGAAGAGAAAGAGACATTGTACCTTAAGAGGAACCCACAGAAGAAAGCTCCCGCAGATTGTTCCTTGAGAGGAACTCGCAGATTGTACCTTGAGAGAAATAGGGCTAGGTTTTCGGGCACTGAGAGAGGGGCGAGAGCAGAGAGAAATAACGAACCCACAGATTGTACCTTGAGAGAAATAGGGTTTGGTTTTTGGGCACTGAGAGAGGAGTGAGAGCAAAGAAAGGGGCGAGAGCAGAGCGAGATTAACGCAGAGGAGGAAAGACAGGTTTAGAATACCCATACTAGGAGAGAGAGATGCATGTGTCAGCGGGAGAGAATGGATGAGACAGAGAGAGTTTTGTTTTATAAAAAAAATTAAAAGTAATGGAGAAATTTAAATCTCACATTCAGATTTGGATCATAACCGATGGTGATGAGTTAGGGTCCTATACTAGGTGTATAGGTATGGGAGGGTTCTATAAAATCATTATTTTTAAAAAAATATTATAAAAAATAATTATGTGGTCAAATCAACCATTTTTTATACAAAATTATTCTTTTAAAAACTAATTTCACTCAAGAATATTAACCCTCTTGAATATTTTTGCCTAATAAAATGGTCAAAATGCTCTTGTTGAAATCTTGAACAACCATGAAGTATTTTGGTAGTTTTTGCCACTTCAAGTGGCCCAAGCCAAACTCTATAATTACCTCTATTAGTTCTGAATAACCCGAGTCATGTTTTTTTTGTAAAAGCTATTGGGCAAATAATAAAAGCTATTGGGCAAATAGGAATCTTTCCAAGAATAAAGATTTGTGTTGAGGCATCTTAGAGCGAGTGATTTCTTCATATCTGAAGGAATTTATATGATCTATACCCAAAGCTTGTTGAAAAATGTATTTTTGGTGTTGGAATTTTAATGATGACATGAAAATCTAATTCACATATTATAAAATTTTAAACTCAAAACATAGTACAGATGGAGCAAATTTACAAATACATGAAGATCTTTAGAATAGAAGGTTTAGATATTAGCATTACAAGTAGTACTATTTTTGAGATTTTAAAATCTTTTTTTTTTTTTCTCACATTCGTCCATCTTGAAGTCGAGATGGTCAATTAGAGGGTTTTTCAACATTAAAACAACTTTATTCGATAGATTTTTTAGACGTATTTTTCTTCTACGGTACAAGGTTGCAACCTTATACAAAAATTTTCCTTCTGCACGAGTATATTTATCTAAATGGATTCTCCATCGCTTTAGGGAAATTATATTCTACACCTCATATTTTTATCTAATATATATGTAAACTTAAATTTTTAAAAATAAAAACTATGCGGTAAACATTTCAATTTCCTCAGCATTCCCCCCCCCCCCCTCCCTTCCGTCTCTCTCTCGGTTCCCCATACTAAATCCTTTTTCACAATTAGGTCATACTTCATTAAATGACATTCTCTTACCCTTAATTAAATAGACTGGATACAGTAGATAATGACTTAAATGTCTATAAACAATCACGAATAAGATGCACTGTGATTCACATTTCTATTACTGTAAGTCTGCGATTATGAAGATACAAAATTGCATAAAAGAATTATTTTTCAAAAAATCCTTTGAAGCCATTGAAGTTAATAATCCTTAACATTGTGAAATTGTGTGTATTTTTGTGTATATATTTTTTATATAATTTGCTGGGTAGGATGATCTTTCCTTTGTCATGTAGATTGCATTAGGATATTTTTATTTTATTTTTTTTATATCACTTATTTGTATATATTTGGCAACCACCTTTGTATACATATAAGGGATTTTCTTCTGCATGTTGAATGCAAAAAAATAGAGATTTTTCATATGGTATTAAAGCGACGTCTATAATTCTATCTCAGTTGTCTCTGAATTTGTACCTTTTGAAACCAACACACCCTCAAAACTGCTCACTAAAACCATCCATTGAAACAACTCTTTGCAATCGACCATCCTTGAAAACCATTGTCCTCCACTCTACCCCACAAAAGAATGAAAAAGCTGTATATAAAATATATACAATTCACATTTCCCCTCAAACTCGTAATAGTCGAAAATATGCACTTGAGAGTTTGAAAATAAAGCTTGGAAAACAAAGAGCATTATGGGACTTCGTAACAGTTTAGATGGATGATCACCACATGATGGTGAAGCCAAGGTTGTGTAGTTAATTTGTTATTTTGTAAACAATAAAGTTACGAAAGATTGTCAAAAAAAAAAGAAGCAGTTTAGATGGATGGCTTGAAGGATGAACTCGAATGGACCACCAAATCCAATGCTCTCTAACTTAATTGATAAATTCATGATCATTATGACTTGATGGGACACGCGTGAAAACCATGTACCAAAAGAATGACTAAACATATACTTAGGTTGGTCTAATGGTAGCCTTGTTAACTTGGTTATGAGCAAATTAGATCGGTTTTTGGCTTCTGATGATTGGGCGCATCCCTTTCCGCTTGTTCAGATTTATGTATGCCTAAGCTATCCTCTGACCATGTTCCTTTATATTTACGGTCTTTGCAAAAAACTTTCTGGTCATATGCCTTTTCGGTTGGATGCAAGTTGCCTACTTGAATTAGATGCAGTGCAACTTATCAAAGATACATGGCTGAATACTATTGTTTACGGTTACCATGGTTATAGAGTGCCCAAAAAGCTGATCTTATTTAAATGTTGATCTCTTGGAAGAAAGCTCATCTCTTGTTTATGGTAATCTCTTGGAAGAAATTTAATCTCTTGTTTATGGTAATCTGTTGGAAGAAAGCTAACTCTTGTTTATGGTAGTCTCTTGGAAGAAAGCTAATCTCTTGTTTATGGCAATCTCTCGGAAGAAAGCTATAATCTCTTGTTTATGGTAATCTCTTGGAAGAAAGCTAATAGATTTTATTTAAAAGCTAATTTAGATGAAGTTATATCTATTTTTAAGCTTTTAGAGGACGATATACATAATGCCGCATTTTTGTTAAAAGCAGTGGTTTAAAAAACGGATCGGTGCCCCAGATCGGGAACCCCAAAAACCCATCCGGATAGGATAATCGTTGATTCGGATCAGGAATCGGCTGACTCGGTCGGATTAAGCCTTAAAAAAAATCCACAAAAATTTAAGAAATTAATTATAAATGTTGTTTTTTAAGAATCCACTAAGAAATGGGGGTACTACATTATTAACTTTCATTTTTTTTATTAATATGCGAATGTTGAGATGTTCTTTCCCTGTATGAACTTATGTTTACCATTAAATTTACACAAAAGAAAAATTATAGAATTATCTTAGATGAATTATATAATCATACATGGACTACAAGAAAAAATGGATTAAATCGATGAAAAAATGGCCACCAAAAGCTTAAATCAACGGAAAACCCTAATCTAAGACCCCAAATTATTACAACCTAACTAATTATAATCCAAAATTATTACAACCTAACTAACTATAATATTATAT